ATTTATTTGAAATAGCAGTCAACGCTGTCTTCTATCAGCGTTCACAAGCGTCTGCTTTTCTCAAAATGTCGTCGAAGTCACACGGATAGCGTTGCCAAGTCATGGCCTTGGGAATGAGTCCGTGTCGATGTCGTCGAAGTCACACGGTGAGTAAATTGCATCGCAGCTCAAAGAAACTATTTTGGTCACAAAACGAATTGGGACCCATGCCGCTCGTCAACATTTACAACACTTTCGTTTCGACTTGTCCTCTCTGACTCTATTATCGATACGAGGAAGAACTCGTTTGTTGTAAACCAGACGTACATGACTGTATCAACGTGAGTGAGTTGGCATTTTTCCTGCTTTCGCGCGGAATATTTCTTCGAGTTCACAGTGAGTTTTTCCAGGCAGCGCTCGAGTGCTCATACGGTAAGACGCCAAACTCCGCGGGCGATCGCCAGGATTGCAAATCTTTTGAAACGGACTGTAGCGACCAACCTGGTACTAAAGACCACTTTGCCAGGCACGGAAGGTCTCACATTCATACATGGTTGGGTGGTGCAAACCTGTAACTAAGGACCACCTGCCACTAAAGATCACTTTCTCTGGCCCCAAAGGGTGGTCGTTAGTCACAGGTTTCACTGTAATATTTTTTCATATTTCTCTAGGGCAGTCCCTCACAGACCTATGGTCTCCTTACGGGGTACCCTAGCCAATCTAGGATTGCGATATGAAATTGACTTGGTGAAGCAGCGAGGTGAACCGATGTCGGAACTGAGTTACAATGGTCGGCGGCTAGATAAGAAAGAGAGGAATAACCTTACTTGGTATATTTTGTCAACCAGTATGCCGATATTTTTTGGCAATCTATTGATCTCTGCATTACATACATGAACACACGAACCACAAAGTCTCATGAAAAGTTGACATGCTGTGAAAACAATGGAACCCTTGATGGGGTGCTGGGTGCTGGGCGTTCGTGGCTACAGCAGGTAATATCTCCAATTAGGGGCTTTGGGGTGACACTCTGAATGGATGTACCATGGAAGCCCCTACTGGCCTAGCTTGATCACCACAGTACATCCGCTTGCCAGGCTCGTTCTTGTCAATGTCCTGCTGTAGCACCAACCCTTGATATAGGACTCGGATGAGCTCTGTTCACTTGCTGTGTGCCTCAACAAAGTCAGATAGAGCTAAGTGAAAGGGTAACGTGCAGGATGGCACAGTTGTATGCATCATGCAGGACAGTATGAATAGGCAACGGACGCGCTTGACGTTTTGGTAGGGGGATTCGGCTGGGCAGGCTTGCTTGTCGCCTTCCTCATTACCATAAACCATCAGCCACACATTTCGCCAAAGACCGGGGTTTACTTCAGTGATCACTGCTTCTACTGAATAATTCTTCTGCATTCTGCTGGCAGCTGCATTCTGCCATTTTCAGGGTCTCAGCTCGTGCAGTGGCCAGGGACTTGAATAAGCACAAGGCCATGTCGCAACCAGTTCGGTACAGCAGTGCGCCCTGCTTCCACCCTTTTTTGCCGGCCCATATTTTGGCATGGGGTGGCCGGACACCTGCCAGCGTTTCAGACGCTGTGAGTGCCTCCTTTGGGATTCTATAAGTGTGGACGCTTTCTCTCTCCGCTCTTGCAACAAACAGTGGCCCGAAATAATCTGCGATGTACCTACGAAACAAATGTCAAAGGAAAGTGATCAGATGTTTGGAGACCTATTCAAAAACCTGCTTGATTAGCTCTCCACTCACCCTCGAAGCACTGGAACTGCGCAAAAGCAATCGATATCTCAGTGTTTGTCTACAATACCTCCACAACCAGTTGCCAATCTAAATCCTTGAGCAAAATTGAGAACACCACGAAATGCCCTTCCAATTACCCACGGTTGCAAATAAAAAGAGGACCCTTTCTGCAGCTTTTCAAACTTGGCGCATACATGTCGACTGATGTCCATTGAAATATGCATGTACATTGAAACAAAACCATTCATCACACAGTTTCTTTCGCACTATAGCAGTAGCCTCATATGCAAGCTAACAAAGCTCACCAGGGCTAGTACAGTACGAGTACTTGGTACAGAGGGACAAAGCGTAGTACTGTACATGGTACTGCAGTGAACAAAACCACGGATAGTAACATTGGTCCACTGTCGTACTGCAAACCAACACTACTTCATGTACATAGCTAAGACGGTTCTACAATACACATGAAACAATACAGAATGTGTCCACTGTTTTGCTGTGTGATTGTTAATATGTTCACGATTAAAGATATATCATTGGCGGTGAAGGAAAAACATTGGCCAGAAAGAGGGATTTTAAAAGTATACAACCTAGTAAAGTGAGACTATTCCGGGCCAATGAAGTTGAAGACACCATTGCAGCTGTACTTATGGTTGATAAATATGGTGGGAAAGACACACCCGGCAATATGGCGGTAAACACACGCCTGCCCACACACGCTCTCTAGGCTGCAAAGTTCTAGCACAGAGCTCTCCTTCTCACCACCACCACCACCATCAGTTCGCGCCTGGCGCCGGGTCGATGCATGGTTGGCGGTATCCGGCATAGCAGGCTGGTGCATCAAGTAGCGCATGGCACATAGAAGATGACACAGCAACGACATAGCTCGATTGCGACGTACGTTTCGTCCCGGCTGGACTCATCAGGCAATCTTCTTCTTGGGTGTCTTCATACGGAGCTTGACTCGGGAGAATGAAGTTGAAGCCACCATTGCAGCTGTACTTATGGTTGATAAATATGGTGGGAAAGACACACCCGGCAATATGGCGGTAAACACACGCCTGCCCACACACGCTCTCTAGGCTGCAAAGTTCTAGCACAGAGCTCTCCTTCTCACCACCACCACCACCATCAGTTCGCGCCTGGCGCCGGGTCGATGCATGGTTGGCGGTGTCCGGCATAGCAGGCTGGTGCATCAAGTAGCGCATGGCACATAGAAGATGACACAGCAACGACATAGCTCGATTGCGACGTACGTTTAGTCCCGGCTGGACTCATCAGGCAATCTTCTTCTTGGGTGTCTTCATACGGAGCTTGACTCGGGAGAATGAAGTTGAAGCCACCATTGCAGCTGTACTTATGGTTGATAAATATGGTGGTAAAGACACACCCGGCAATATGGCGGTAAACACACGCCTGCCCACATACGCTCTCTACGCTGCAAAGTTCTAGCACAGAGCTCTCCTTCTCACCACCACCACCATCAGTTCCCGCCTGGCGCCTGGTCGATGCATGGTTGGCGGTATCCGGCATAGCAGGCTGGTACATCAAGTAGCGCATGGCACATAGAAGATGACACAGCAACGACATAGCTCGATTGCGACGTACGTTTCGTCCCCGCTGGACTCATCAGGCAATCTTCTTCTTGGGTGTCTTCATACGGAGCTTGACTCGGGAGAATGAAGTTGAAGACACCATTGCAGTTGTACTTATGGTTGATAAATATGGTGGTAAAGACACACCCGGCAATATGGCGGTAAACACACGGTGGTGAGAAGGAGAGCTCTGTGCTAGAACTTTGCAGCCTAGAGAGCGTGTGTGGGCAGGCGTGTGTTTACCGCCATATTGCCGGGTGTGTCTTTACCACCATATTTTATCAACCATAAGTACAGCTGCAATGGTGGCTTCAACTTCATTCTCCCGAGTCAAGCTCCGTATGAAGACACCCAAGAAGAAGATTGCCTGATGAGTCCAGCCGGGACGAAACGTACGTCGCAATCGAGCTATGTCGTTGCTGTGTCATCTTCTATGTGCCATGCGCTACTTGATGTACCAGCCTGCTATGCCGGATACCGCCAACCATGCATCGACCAGGCGCCAGGCGCGAACTGATGGTGGTGGTGGTGGTGAGAAGGAGAGCTCTGTGCTAGAACTTTGCAGCCTAGAGAGCGTGTGTGGGCAGGCGCGTGTTTACCGCCATATTGCCGGGTGTGTCTTTACCACCATATTTATCAACCATAAGTACAGCTGCAATGGTGGCTTCAACTTCATTCTCCCTGGTCGATGCATGGTTGGCGGTATCCGGCATAGCAGGCTGGTACATCAAGTAGCGCATGGCACATAGAAGATGACACAGCAACGACATAGCTCGATTGCGACGTACGTTTCGTCCCCGCTGGACACATCAGGCAATCTTCTTCTTGGGTGTCTTCATACGGAGCTTGACTCGGGAGAATGAAGTTGAAGACACCATTGCAGCTGTACTTATGGTTGATAAATATGGTGGTAAAGACACACCCGGCAATATTGTCAATAATTGTCCTCGCTTAATTCATCAACTACACGTACTACAAGGGAGCACAACCAGCACCACATACACTACCAACACTAGGACCACCACTACAACCACAACCGTCACAACCTACGCTGATTTTGATATTTTCCCCCAGGTAAACTTTCAATCCTTTGCTTCAGACACATGCAGACAAGAGCAAAGGAAAGGATCAATTAAGTCAGATCTTCAACAGCGGGAGCTGAGAGCTCGCATGCAAGTGAAACTACTGCAAGTGCAACAACGACAACGACAAAAGCAAAGGGAAGGAGCAAATACGTCAGATCTGCGACAGCGGGTGCTCGAAGCGAGAGCTCACATGCAAGTGCAACAACTGCAAGTGCAACAACGACGACAAAAGCAAAGGAAAGGAGCAAATACGTCAGATCTGCGACAGCGGGTGCTCGAAGCGAGAGCTTGCATGCAAAACCCACAACGACAACGACGACGACGACAGCAACTAACAAACCATCTCTTATTGGCCACTGGCTATCGATAAAGATTTGAACCAAACACAAGATGAAAATGTCTAAACAAGCCCGTGGAATTCAGCAAGGCAGGGAATAAAGTCAACACTTTTTGACAGCTAGTGAAATTATTCGATTTAAAACCAGTCGAGACATAACGAGATTAGCACAAAAATGATGCAGCACCGCAAGTTGGTACAAGGATGGTCCTAGACCATTAGATAACAACCAAACGCGTGCTTGGTCACTAGAGTGAGTCGTCTTCTTCTGCATATGCGGCAGAGTCCTGGAAAGGGTCTGCTCCATATGCTGGTGTACTGAGGACTGTATTGAAGGATGTGATTGGGGGGTGGTGGGCAGCAATAGAGGAAGAGATTCCTCCGTCTTCACTAGGATTCAAGACTAGGCCCATGTGATCTACTGGCTTTGGGCTCAGGAAGGGTACAGGGTAAGGTAAACCATGAGGCGAAACATACGGCATTGGATATGCTGACTCTTGTAGAGCAGTAGGACTGGTTTGCAGCATACTCTGTTGTCGAGTGTGAATCTTTCTGTGGCGAGTTCGTACATCATCCCGCGCGAAAGACTGATCACAGACTCCACAGTTGTAGGGTTTCTCACCTGCAGGAGTAGGTATGTGCATATCCAGGTGTTGCGTCAGGTGTTGCTTACGTAGAACACGAAATATGCTCATCCCACAATGGCGTTCCCTTTGTGGATGCGCTTCTCGGACATGGCGCTTTAGCTCATCCTCATCGTGAAACTCCGCATGGCAGCCTCTGTCGGAACACTGAATAGCATCGGTCGGTGTTGCTGAACTAGTCAGTGGCTCTCGCTCTGCCCTGGCCGAAGAATTTGCGCCTGCGAGATTCTGCTCCTGTTGAGGCGATGCTGTGAGCTGCGCTGATACCAGCAGGGACGGTGCGAATTCGTCGGACTGTAGCCCATCCTCGCTGCCAGGATTTTTCTGCTCATCAAGACCCTTCAAACTGGAACTGTTTTCGGGTGTCGTCATCCTCTACGGAAGCCTCACTACAGGTTTTAAATTACAGGTCTTATACGGCAAGCAGAGATTCAATCCTAACCTTTGTCAGCAGAACGGATACTAGAACTGAAGATATTGAGAACTCTTTGCTGGTCTCTATAGGGACCACAAGGATGGCGGCGAGTCACTTTACAATAGCTACCAACACTTCGATGCTGGAGATCTCATTGCTTTTCACTGGCTCAAACTAGTAGACAGGGAATGAAGGAATAATTCAAAGACTACGTACATAAAGGCAACTGGTTTAATATTAAATCTAGCACTTCACGAAGCGGGAATGAAGGGCGGTAGTTGGAGTAGGTGACTAAAACGGCACACTTCCTCAGCGAGTGAAAAAGGACATTGCAGGACAACACGTCAGTATTATGGTGATACTTTCACACCCACGGGACTAGTGTAGTGTCTGCCAGCCTGCTCGTGTCTGAGGCACTTTGGGCTTACAACAGAAAGTGATACAGGCTGACAGCACTAGCGGGAGGAAAACAAGCTCTTGGGCTTTGACTCTTCACTTCATAATTCCACACAGCAATGAGAAAGAATGATGGGTTTATATAGGCCAGAGGGAGAGAGCAGCTGGGAGCGAGTGCAAAAGATTACTAGGAAGACAACTGTTGAAAGATCTAAGGAAAAGCCATTTGAATGTGTGTGAGCTAGGGCTGAACAATAACATGGATTCGGGGAAGAAAGCTGTTGGATGCCTAGAACCGGGAAGGAATCTCGCAAGGGATCAAGAGGGTCAGTGATGGGGAACAGACTACACAGGAATCAATGTAATGTATTAGTACAGCATGAACGCAATAGGTCATGCGGCCGTACCGGTCTTGCAAGCAGGGCTATCTAGTCCTAAGTGGTTGCGCGTGAGAAGCACTTAGCTAGAATGTTCCTGTAACTACTGGTAGAGACTTGGCTGTGTGATCACTGACAGTCAGGGATACTACATCCGCCTCTCCTCCGTTGAGACACGTCCTCGTGTCTACGGGACGGGTGTTCGTGAAAAGACAGACACATGCATTTAAAATGTGTGAAGAATTTGTCTCTCTGTGGAGCGGGAAAATGTACATGTATGTGTTCGCGTCTCAATACATGTATTGGACGGTAAAAGGGATGTGTTCCATCGCGTCACTCTTATTGTGGACGGTAATAATTCTTGACTCTCGTCTCTCTGGGACGGTATAACTGGAAAGGACTCGCTCACCATGTGGCGGTAAAATCATTGTTACTTGTACACGTACATGGACGGGTTAGTTGAGTGCATGCTTGCAGGGTATACAGTATTTGGGTCTGAAACGGATTGCGTGGTCGGAACGGGGTGGACATGATCGGGATGGGTAACGAAAAGGCTAGGAAACTTTGTGGTCAGACCTGGGAGAAAGCGGTTGTAGGGGAGTTTCAGTGGGACGGAATGTTGGGCGATCTAGAACTGTGTACTGCACGTATCTGGACGGACATGAAGGTATATGGAGGGTTGCGAGTCCTAGGCTGTTGATCGAATGGTGGGACGGGGACTGGGAGTGGGATTGTCTGTGGGATGGAGAGGCTGAAGGAACGTGGAGGGCCTTGTGTATCGCGTGTAGTGTAGCAAACAAACTAAATGTGAGAGATGTTAGCAGGGGAACAACTTTGGCAGCAGAACGAGTTAGGGATAGGGATATGGCAGCGAGGAGCATAAGAACAGAATGGAAACTACTGCTGGATGGGGGAGCTTGCATAATACGCGGCGTAGCTTGCACGATAGGGGTGGCATGTGTACTAGTAACAGTTGCATTTGACCGGGTTGATGATTGAGTAGGGATACAGCAGGAATGGTGACATACCTGGGTTGAAGGGAAGATGTGCCGTGTATCGCGACGACAATAGCAATACGCTATGGCATGGCCAATCTGCTTGCAAAATCGGCAATATGGGCGAAGACGAAAGGGCCGACGTCGCTTGGGTCGTACATATACCGGTGGCTGTAGTCCAGGGACATACCGGAGGGCATGGGAACTCGCTGAAGAATGATGGTGATCCATTTTGCCGAAATGCGTACGTGACAGCGTCGATCTGCTGTATGGATGGACTGACAAACCGGGATTCTGCATCGTTCTCAGGTCGTCATGGGTTCAGAAACGAGGAGCAGCCGGGGGGCAGCCTGAGCGGGTTGAATGTGTGTGAGCTAGGGCTGAACAATAACATGGATTCGGGGAAGAAAGCTGTTGGATGCCTAGAACCGGGAAGGAATCTCGCAAGGGATCAAGAGGGTCAGTGATGGGGAACAGACTACACAGGAATCAATGTAATGTATTAGTACAGCATGAACGCAATAGGTCATGCGGCCGTACCGGTCTTGCAAGCAGGGCTATCTAGTCCTAAGTGGTTGCGCGTGAGAAGCACTTAGCTAGAATGTTCCTGTAACTACTGGTAGAGACTTGGCTGTGTGATCACTGACAGTCAGGGATACTACATCAGCGCCAAATACCAAAAAATCAACACAAGGAGGAAAACTTCCTTCTGCCAGCGGAGTCGCCTGATGATTGCATCGAGCAAGAAGCTCCGAGTTGCGTCAACTCTGTAAACCTCCATTGTGACTTTTGTGTGTAAAAATCAATACATTCACTTGTCAAGTCATGAAATGTTGTGATGAATTGTATTTCAAAAGTATGTCGATCAGGTTTGTTCTCTTGTCCCTAATGGCATTTCTAAATTGCACTCTACTGTTTTGGAAACGTTGTGCATCCATAAGCTGTCCCCAGCGCTTTGTATTCAGAAATAGAAAGTGTTCTCCTTTCAGTCACTTGGCGCTACAGCTTGTAATATCTTGGCACAAGCGGGTCCAAGGTTTTCTATGATGTTGTTTTCTGTTAAAGGAAAGCATTGAAAGCAAACTGAAATATCACAAATTATGTACACGGTAGAGCAGCGTGCAACAACAGCGTGCACATAGCAGTGTCGTTAGCTCCTGCATATTGCGCTCCGAACTAGACTGGAAAAGCTCACGCTCAGATTCACTGTCAACAAAACGCCTGCCAGCCAGTAGCGCTGATGCTCTGTGAAGGACACACAAGGTCTCTCGTAGACCGTGCGCAATGCACACCCTTTTTTGAAATCGTGCCTTGCAGCTTGGCGAAAGACTTATCGTGTACTATGTATAGGATATTGCACGGTTCCGAGGGCATTATTTTCAAATCCCCAAGGCGCGCAGCGCCGCGGCGATTATGAAAAATAATCCTCGCGGACACTGCGCAATATCCTGTATAGACCACACTTTTCGGTTGATCAGCAGCATGAACCAGTAAGGCAGTGTATTGTGAACGTAACACTGAAGTAGGTCTGACGTAGTCATTTGCTCGTCGCCTCTCCGGGTTTAGATCCACTTGTTGGTTTGTCTCCCAAGACGAAGTCTCATGATCTCCGCTGCTTGTTCGTAGCTGACAAAAGGGGTGCTGATGGCGATCAAGTGAAAACGACAAAATAGTAGATATTGTAATTATTTGAAAATAATTTGAGGTGCTTTGTTCGTCTCACACCTCCAATGTACAAAATATGCTGGGTGTTCGTCCTTGAACAGTTTGTGTTTTAGTCCCTCTCGTCTCACATTTCACCTTCTCTTTGAAGTCTTCCTTCCTCTCTGCTTTCCTTTCATCTTCCCATTTATATAATTCTCCGTGCTAAATTCATCAACTACACGTACTACAAGGAAGCACAACCAGCACCACATACACAGACACTACCAACACTAGCACCACCATACCACTACAACCACAACCGTCACAACATACGCTGATTTTGATATTTTCCCCGGTACACTTTCAATCCTTCGCTTCAGACACACACAGACAAGAGCAAAGGAAAGGATCAAATAAGTCAGATCTGCGAAAGCGGGTGCTCGAAGCGAGAGCTCGCATGCAAGTGCAACAACGACAAAGACAACAACTACAAAAGCAAAGTAAAGAAGCAAAAACGTCAGATCTGCGACAGCGGTTGCTCGAAGCGGGAGCTCGCATGCAAGTGCAACAACTGCAAATGCAACGATGACAACGACAACAACCACAAACACAAAGGAAAGAAGCAAATACGTCAGATCTGCGACAGCGGGTGCTCAAAGCGAGAGCTCGCATGCAAGTGCAACAACGACAACGACGACGACCACAACAAACAAACTATCTCTTATTGTCCACTGGCTATCGTGATGATAAAGATTTGAAATAAACACGAGATGACAATTTCTAAACAAGCCCGTGGAATTCAGCAAAGCAGGGAATAAAGTCAACACTGTTTGACAGCTGGTGAAATTATTCGATTTATAACCAGTCGAAACATAACGAAATTAGTACTAAAATGATGCAGCGCCGCAATTTGGTACAAGGGTGGTCCTAGACCATTAGATAAAAACCAAACGCGTACTTGGTCACTAGAGTGAGCCGTCTTCTTCTGCATATGCGGCAGAATCCTGGAAAGGGTGTGCTCCAAATGCTGGTGTACTGAGGACTGTACTAAAGGGTGTGATTTTGGGGTGGTGGGCAGCAATCGAGGAAGAGATTCCTCCGCCTTCACTTGGATTCAAGACTAGCCCCATATCATCTACTGGCATTGCGCCCAGGAAAGGTAAACCATGAGGCGAAACAGACGGCATTGGAAAGCCTGAATCTTGTAGAGCAGTAGGACTGGTTTGCAGCATACTCTGTTGTCGAGTGTGAATCTTTCTGTGGCGAGTTCGTACATCATCCCGCGCGAAAGACTGATCACAGACTCCACAGTTGTAGGGTTTCTCATCCGTATGAGTAGGCATGTGCATATTCAGGTGCTGCTTCAGGTGTTGCTTACGTTTAAAACTACATGAGCACATCTCACAATGGTGTTTCATTTCTGGATGCGCTTCTCGGACATGGCGCTTTAGCTCATCCTCATCGTGAAACTCGGCATGGCAGCCTCTGTCGAAACACTGAATGGCATCGGCCTTTGTTGCTGAACTAGTCAGTAGCTTTCGCTGTCGCCTGGCCGAAGAATGTGAGCCTGCGAGATTCTGCTCCGTTTGAGGCGATGCTGTGGGCTGCGCTAATCGCAGCCGATACGGTGCAAATCCGGGGGACTGTAACACATCCTCACTTTGAGGATTTTTCTGCTCATCAAGACCCTTCAAACTGGAACTGTTTTCGGGTGTCGTCATCATCCACGGAAGTCTTAATACAGGTCAAATTACAGGTCTTCTACGGCGAGCAGAGATTCAATCCGAACCTTTTGAGCAGAAAGGATATTAGAATTGACGATATTGAGAAAGCTTGGCTGGTCTCTAGAGGGACCACAAGGACGGCGGTGAGTCACTTCACAATATATACCACCGCTTCGATGCTGGAGGGGTCATTGCCTTTCACTGGCTCAAACTAACGTTAGTAGACAGGGAATGAAGGAATAATTCAGAGACTACGTACATAAAGGCAACTGGTTTAATATTAAATCTAGCACTTCACGAAGCGGGAATGAAGGGGGTAGTTGGAGTAGGTGACTAAAACGGCACATTTCCTCAGCGAGTGAAAAAGTCCGTTGCAGGACAACACGTCAGAATTATGGTGATACTTTCACACCCACCGGGACTAGCGCCAAATACCTAAAAGCCAACACATTCACATGTGAAGTCATGAGATGTTGTGATGAGTTGTATTTCACAAAAGTATGTCGATCAGGTTTCTTCTCTTGTCCCTCATTGCAGATCTAAATCTCACTCTACTCTTTTGGAAACGTTGTGCATTCATAAGCTGTCCCCAGCGCTTTGTATTCAGAAATAGAAAGTGTTCTCTTTTCAGTGACTTGGCGCTACAGCTTGTAATATCTTGGCCCAAGCGGGTCCAAGGTTTTCTATGATGTTGTTTTCTGTTATAATTATGAAAGCATTGAAAGCAAGCTGAAATGTGACATGTGTACTGTAGAGCGGCGTGCAACAACAGGCTGCTCATAGCCGTGTCGTTAGCTCCTGCATATTGCACTCCGAACTGGACTGGAAAAGCTCACGCTCAGATTCACAGTCCACAAAAACGCCTGCCAGCGAGTAGCGCTGATGCTCTGTGATCGTGTGAAGGACACACAAGGTCTCTCGTGGACCGTGCGCAATGCACACCTTTTTTGAAATCGTGCCTTGCAGCTTGGCGAAAGACTTATCATTTACTATGTATAGGATATTGCACGGTTCCGAGGGGATTCTTTTCAAATCCCCAAGGCGCGCAGTGCCGCGGCGATTATGAAAAATAATCCTCGCGGACACTGTGCAATATCCTGTATAGACCACACTTTTCGGTTGATCAGCAGCATGAACCAGTAAGGCAGTGTATTGTGAACGTCACACTGAAGTAGGTCTGACGTAGTCATTTGCTCGTCGCCTCTCCGGGTTTAGATGTACTTGTTGGTTTATATCCCAAGACGAAGCCTCATGATCTTCGCTGCTTGTTGGTAGCTGACAAAAGGGGTGCTGATAGCGATCAAGTAAAAACGACAAAATAGTAGATATTATTGTAATTATTTGAAAATAATTTGAGGTGCTTTGTTCGTCTCGCACCTTAAATGTACAAAATATGCTGGGTGTTCGTCCTTGAACAGTTTATGTTTTAGTCCCTCTCGTCCCACATTTCACCTTCTCTTCGAAGTCTTCCTCTCTGCTTTCCTTTTATCTCCCCTTGTGTATAATCCTCCGTGCTCAATTCATCAACTTCACGTACCACTAGGGAGCACAACCAGCACCACATACACATACACATACACTAGCACCACCACTACAACCACAACCGTCACAAACTACGCTGATTTTGATATTTTCCCCCAGGTAAACGTTCAATCCTTCGCTTCGGACACATGCAGACAAGAGCAAAGGAAAGGATGAAATAAGTCAGATCTGCGAAAGCGGGTGCTCGAAGCGAGAGCTCGCATGCAAGTGCAACAACTGCAAGTGCAACAACGACAACGACAAAAGCAAAGGGAAGGAGGAAATACGTCAGATCTGCGACAGCGGGAGCTCGCATGCAAGTGCAACAACTGCAAGTGCAACAACGACAACAACGACAAAAGCAAAGGAAAGGAGCAAATACGTCAGATCTGCGACAGCAGTTGCTCGAAGCGAGAGCTCACATGCAAAACCAACAACTAAGACGACGACGACGACCACAACAAACAAACTATCTCTTATTGGCCACTGGCTATCGTGATAATAAGGATTTGAAACAAACGCAAGATGACAATTTCAAAGCAAGCCCGTGTAATTCAGCAATGCATGGAATTAAGTCAACACTGTTTGACAGCTAGTGAAATTATTCGATTTAAAACCAGTCGAGATATAACGAGATTAGTACAAAATGATGCAGCACCGCAAGTTGGTACAAGGATGGTCCTAGACCATTAGATAACAACCAAACGCGTGCTTGGTCACTAGAATGAGCCGTTGTCTTCTGCATATGCGGCAGAGTGCTGGAAAGGGTGTGCTCCAAATGCTGGTGAACTGATGACTGTATTAAAGAATGTGATTTGGGGGTGGTGGGCAGCAATAGAGGAAGAGATTCCTCCGCCTTCACTAGGATTCAAGAATAGCTCCATTTGATCTACTGGCTTCGCGCCCAGGAAAGGTACAGAGTAAGGTAAACCATGAGGCGAAACATACGTCATTGGAAAGCCCGAATCGTGTAGAGCAGTAGGACTGGTTTGCAGCATACTCTGTTGTCGAGTGTGAATCTTTCTGTGGCGAGTTCGTACATCATCCCGCGCGAAAGATTGATCACAGACTCCACAGTTGTAGGGTTTCTCACCTGCAGGAGTAGGTATGTGCATATCCAGGTGTTGCTTCAGGTGTGGCTTACGTTTAACACGAAACATGCCCATCTCACAATGGCGTTTCCTTTGTGGATGCGCTTCTCGGACATGGCGCTTTAGCTCATCCTCATCGTGAAACTCGGCATGGCAGCCTCTGTCGAAACACTGAATGGCATCGGTCTGTGTTGCTGAACTAGTCAGTGGCTCTCGCTCTGCCCTGGCCGATGAATGTGCGCCTGCGAGATTCTGCTCCGGTTGAGGGGATGCTGTGAGCTGCGCTAGTCCCAGCAGGGACGGTGCGAATTCGTCGGACTGTAGCCCATCCTCGCTGCCAGGATTTTTCTGCCCATCAAGACCCTTCAAACTGGAATTGTTTTCGGGTGTCGTCATCTTCCACGGAAGCCTCACTACAGATTTTAAATTACAAGTCTTATACGGCAAGCAGAGATTTAATCCTAACTTTTTTCAGCAGAACGGATACTTCAGCAGAACGGATACTAGAACTGAAGATATTGAGAACACTTTGCTGGTCTCTAGAGGGACCACAAGGATGGCGGCGAGTCACTTTACAGTAGCTACCAACACTTCGATGCTGGAGATCTCATTGCTTTTCACTGGCTCAAACTAGTAGACAGGGAATGAAGGAAAAATTCAAAGACTACGTACATTAAGGCCACTGGTTTAATATTAAATCTAGCACTTCACGAAGCGGGAATGAAGGGCGGTAGTTGGAGTAGGTGACTAAAACGGCACACTTCCTCAGCGAGTGAAAAAGGACATTGCAGGACAACACGTCAGTATTATGGTGATACTTTCACACGTCCCTGTACAGAGTTCGCGAGTGCTACGCCCAGAAGCGGCTCGTCCTGGTGTGGCGCTGTGTCAATGGGAAAGCCAGCAGTGTCCTCCAGGACCTATTCTCACCATCAGCTGGCGGCACCACCCGGCACCAGGTTTCGAGGGGCCTCACTGTCCCCTCGGCACAGTCAGAAGCCGGCAGAACTCGCCTGGCCTTTCAGGCAGCCTTGGCCTGGAACGCTCTCCCAAGAAGTGTAAGGTAGATGAAGGCTGCCCAGCAATTTAGTTAAGCTTGCCTCCATCCCCTACACATTGCAATGAATGCTCTGTCTGACTTTTCCCGTCCACACACCACGTCATTTACTCTTCTCTGCGTGCTTGTGCGCTTATGAACTCTTTGTGTTTCCTCTGTTGACGCTTCAAAATCGCTCTATTGACACTGCAAAATCGCTCTGTTGACGCTGCAAAATTGCTTATCATCTCCCTCCCTCCCTCCCCCCTTCTCTCTCTCTCTCTCTCTCTCTCTCTCTCTCTCTCTCTCTCTCTCTCTCTCTCTCTCTCTCTCTCTCTCTCTCTCTCTCTCTCTCTCTCCCCGTAGCTCTCTCCCTTTTGAAATTCGCTTCCATAGAATTGGGCACCATTGCCCGTTTGGCCTTGCGAAGTAAAATAAAAATCAACAACAACAACAACAACACTCACGGGACTAGCGCCAAATACCTAAAAATCAACACATGGAGGAAAACTTCCTTCTGCCAGTGGAGTCGCCTGATGATTGCATTGAGCAAGAAGCTCCGAGTTGCGACAACTCTGCAAACCTCCATTGTGACATTTTGTGTGTACAAATCAAACCATTCACTTGCCAAGTCATGAGATGTTGTGATGAGTTGTATTTCAAAAGTATGTAGATCAGGTTTGTTCTCTTGTCCCTCATGGCAGATCTAAATTGCACTCTACTGTTTTGGAAACGTTGTGCATCCATAAGCTGTCCCCAGCGCTTTGTATTCGGAAATAGAAAGTGTTCTCCTTTCAGTCACTTGGCGCTACAGCTTGTAATATCTTGGCCCAAGCGGGTCCAAGGTTTTCTATGATGTTGTTTTCTGTTATAGGAAAGCATTGGTTTCGAGGGGCCTCACTGTCCCCTCGGCACAGTCAGAAGCCGGCAGAACTCGCCTGGCCTTTCAGGCAGCCTTGGCCTGGAACGCTCTCCCAAGGAGTGTAAGGTAGATCAAGGCTGCCCAGCAATTTAGTTAAGCTTGCCTCCATCCCCTACACATTGCAATGAATGCTCTGTCTGACTTTTCCCGTCCACACACCACGTCATTTACTCTTCTCTGCGTGCTTGTGCGCTTATGAACTCTTTGTGTTTCCTCTGTTGACGCTTCAAAATCGCTCTATTGACACTGCAAAATCGCTCTGTTGACGCTGCAAAATTGCTTATCATCTCCCTCCCTCCCTCCCCCCTTCTCTCTCTCTCTCTCTCTCTCTCTCTCTCTCTCTCTCTCTCTCTCTCTCTCTCTCCCCGTAGCTCTCTCCCTTTTAAAATTCGCTTCCATAGAATTGGGCACCATTGCCCGTTTGGCC